AAGATATTGAAGTAAGTAGGAACATTAATTAAAATGTAATTCAAGGCTTCCATTAACGTTTTTTCTTTAGTACTTTTATTTATTCAAAAAGTAGGTAGTTAAGCGAGATTAGATATTATTCAATTATTTACAACATATTATTAAATACTATCTCTTGGTAAATTTATTACAAAAGTAACAAATTGTGGGATATTAAATAGTACATATAAAATTTATACATTTTTATTTTAAAAGGGTGAAAATGTATTCATTACAGTTATCAAATAGGAAACGCGGTGAAAAAAAACATCGTCAAATTATTTACAAAAACCCATATAAATTGCGCGTAATCTTAAATTGGATCGGATTTACGAAATTGGGAAGATAAATGCCAATGAAAGACTTCCACATTAATGGCTCGCATTTCAAATTAGCTGCTTTAAAATGCGGCACTTCAGAATACGGATAAAATTTAGAGCATTTTTATGTTTGAACATAAATGTAGCTAATTCAATGATGTAATGTAAGTAGTAAAATAAAATTACTTTCGAGATTTTACTTTAACTAAGATTTCATTTTAGGCGTTTCGCTGCGTCGGTGGTTCAGTGGTTTAAACACTTGACTTGTAATCTCCAGGTCTTGGGTTCGAATCCCGCTATGTACTAATATGATTTTCGATTTTTCGAATTTTCGTATGTACATAATTTACCCGATGTTCTTACGGTGAAGGAAAACATCGTGATGCAACTTGCACATATCGGCGAAGAAATTCAAAGATATGTGTAAAGTCAACCCGTATTGGGCCAGCGTGGTAGAGTATGGCCTAGTCACCCCTTACTTAGGGTGGTGACGTATAGTGAGCTGACAATGATGATGATGAGACGTTTCGCTGCTGAAAAGAAGTCTTAAGTGAGACAGAATATAGTTAGAGTAGACTAGACTTAGTGGTTTAAGGTAAAAATGTATATAACTATACTTTCGTGTGTAAATCATCAACGATGCGATTCCTCTTTAGATTATATTTTTCAATATTTTATCCCTCGTCCGCTTCAGAATAACAAACAGTTAAACTTCAGCTATGTTCCGAGAATATAAAATACAATTGGAAATTGAAGAATACTCATTGTAAACTAACGTCTTTGTTATAATACAATACTGTATCAATGAACGTATATTGAATTTGTACACGAGTTACATGCAACATTTTATTATTTAACTGCAGAGATTCAAAATATATAGAGTAGGCATAGTTGGACACTTCACTTGAGACATTTTACACAATAATGCTACTATTGATAGTACTTCAAAACATGTCAATATAATTAATTGTATTAAATTTAAATGCCAATAGTTATCATTAAATCATGCTTAAATGCATTTTAAGACACTGTTTATTTTATAACAAAAGATGGCGCTTATTACAATTTTGTAAAATGTTTTATTACATGTCAATACAACAACACGAGAACAACAACAATAAGAACACGAGGTGGCGCTAAACTTGACAACTGAGATAGTACTTTCAAAAAAGTACCGCTGAAAAAATTTCGTTCACTTTGCCTGACTAGGCAATTTACTATTTCTAAAATGTCTTTGGTTAAGTGGTATTTGTATCTGTATTTAAAATGTCAATGTCATTTTGATAATTCATAGTAAAATGTAATAATTCAAGTTCTGATGTTTAGAGTAATAAATATCATGTACCTACGTGCTATGCCTAGCCTACTATTTTGAACTTTTTTGTCAGCTTGAATATCAAAGAAATGAGAACTTTAAAACGAGTTTTTATTTCTGAATGAATTGACACTTCTTATGGGTATGAGGTTATTACTAGGTGAAAAACAGTTTCTACAGCACAGCATCTATCAATTGAGGTGGTTATTACCACGGTAAGAAGTGCACAAGATTCTATTCCATGAATAATTGAACTGCCCCAAGATGAAATTCCATAAAGTAAAAGTTGTGAAAGTTTATCTACAGAATTTATAAAAGTCTTGTTTTAGATCGATTCCTTAATAACGGCGGTGTCCTTTCTGCCGGAGCCGAGCAATATCGGCCGACGATATTGGCAATGCGCTAAGAATATTAATCAGGCGAGTACACCGCTACGGACTCAGCGGTCTCCGTGACTTCAATTTGGTTATAAAACGACTGCGATCTGACAGGATTCGTATCAGTCGAGTAACTCGAATCGAACACGAAATTGCATCACCGAAGTAGAAAACAGAACTCTTTTATTTTTTCTGTTTAAACTAATCTATTCTTAGGAAGAGGTTTATTTTTAATACGTTATTGTTTTTCTATTTATACCCTTCTGTATTAAAATGTAGTACATTAATATAAGGATTTGTTTTGTGACGTTGTTCAGTTATTTAACACTAGCTGTAGTTCGTGATTTCGTCTGCGTGGAATCGACACTACAGCCTATGTTACTCACTGATAACATAGCTTTGTAATGGTGCAAGAATTTTCGGAATCGGCCAAGTAGTTTCTGAGATATGTAAATTACAAAAACACAAATCTTTCCTCTTTATAACAGTATAGACTGGCAGAATAATAGCCATATAGCAGATAGATTCCCGGCAGAATGCGGATAAACATAATTTGCACGTGATTGTCACTCTTACTTGGGTGCTCAAGTAGTCTTCTCATCTACCATTACATTCACATGTTATAGTTAATTATTTACTGTCTAGAAGGTTAGCAACCGTCCTTCCAATTGAATGCTGTCAACCTGAATTATGCAAATATATTTTTTTAAAGTACCGTAATCAAAACTACCACAATACAAGATTTGTATTCTCAATAATAAGTAGGGTTTATCAAAAACATTACGAGCGTGTTTTCATTTATTCCGAGCGTTCTTACCTGCGTGCGAATTATTGCCGGTTACCCACCGCACCTGCGTCTATTATGTTTTGTACTTAATACACTATGTACTTGTACAGTTCTTTTATAATAAGTAATAAAAATATTTCGGCTATTGAGTAAGTAATAAATTGCGGGTTATTCATAAAAACTTGTCTTAAATTATTTTTAATATTTATGGATCTGTGCATTATGTTCATTGCTTCAGTTTCCTTTTGAATCCCTTGTTTTGTTATACTTTTAGGTTATACTATGATACATTCAGAGTGCGCGTACCCCTTTGACTTAATTATCGCACAACTGTGTAGTCTCGGTTTGATTCCTATGAGGTTATATGGAGATGCGTACACTACTTGATTTTAGCTGTGCAACTAAACAGTTGAATTGGCATAATACAATCGACAATCGCTAACAGTTGTGCGATAGTCTAGTCAAAGGCGTGTGGCCTTAGCTTTACTTTTAGTTTATCATATCACAGCCAAAACTAACGTCCATATTAAATAGCACAATCATTCCTTCCTCATATCCTCCTACTAGTTTTAGACAGTTTAGTAAAACTACTATTACTTTACTTGACAATCACGGAATCTTATTTTTAAACTTTTCTTATAACTTCGATGACAATGAACTCACAATTCCAGAATATCTTACCAAGTTATAATAACTAGAAAGTGCCGTTAAACATTTTGGCAGCATTTGACAATAAAGGGGCTTTAGTGGGATGGAACGTAGGCGACAACATTGTTTGAGACGTGCCGCGATCTCTCTGTCCGCTCGTTTTACATCTCTGAATATCTCACTGATAGCTGTTTGCTTTTAGACAGATTTACATTCTACTGCATTAATCATTTTAATGCTTTTACTAATAATAAAATTATTTTATTATGTACTTTTATTTTCGTCTATTAGCACTCAGTGGGAGGGACGATTATTGTCTCTCTAAGTTTGTAGTTTATTACGCGAAATCTATACTAAAGGTTTTAGCAACCATTTAACCTTTGGAGACGTAATTAATTCTTTGATTAGGGATTTAAAGTAATATTCTACGATACTCTTGACTTTTAACTAACAACAAATGAATACTTAATAGAAAAGCTTGGTATTACTAATTAGCTGGATTAAACAGATTAGTTAACCCGCTACCGCTACTTTTATTACTAAAGTTTTACTAATTTTAGTATATTTGTCTTTGATTATTTTTGTCTAAAGCGTGCCTCATTAAGGCTCTTGAGGATCACGTCCGCTAGATGTTGATTGATGACCCTGCCGTATATTTTAATGAAATACTTTCGATCGGTTGTGGATTAAGAGATTAAAATTAGGATAAACGTGTTCAAGCTTATTATAATTAAATGTCTGAAATGAGAGATTACTTTAAGTTGCATTAACGGTTCTCAGCGTTAAAATTAATTTGATTGACATTCGGTGTTGGGGAATATACTTAATGATCCAAGTTATTTGGCTACCCTACATACGGCTGAAAATAATCATTAACTCTTTAACCTTTACAAGGGCGAATCGGGATTTAGTTTTGCTAAATATTTTATGAAGTTTAAAACGAATATGTAAATGAATATACCTAAAATAAAACACAATCAATTGAGTTACATCTTTTCTTTGAATCTGTTTGTGCTATTTATATTTGTAAACGGACAATTGATCAAATTGTCGGCGATGTAAAGCCTTAGATGCGAATTACCCGAAGCCATTTTCAATTATTGACTTTCAATCATTGAAAATTGATTTGCGACGGAATTGCAGTCGGAAATACCGAATCAATCCGGCCAATTTAACGATGACGAGCGCCGACGGAATGGTGAAATTCGGAGCTTGTCTCCAAATGTATATTATTGCTCAGTCTCTTGTAATGTATTATGTCGAAAATATTATTATGTCCAGAACTTGATATTGTAGTTAAAATTAAAGACATTTTTGCTCATATAAAGGTGTGTTAACATTTGAAGATCTTTAAACACTAGCAGATGATATTTATTTATTGATAGGTTTTATTCAATTCAGTCTTACGAAGTATAATTTTCTGTACGTAATGAAGTCAAAATCCGTAGCGGCAAATCTTCATGTTCATATCAAAATTTAAACCCAAAATTCGAATTAATATTTGCTAAACAGGCTAATAAAATTCTTTGTTACAGGCGGTCCAGTGCTGGTCTGCTGGCATCGCAACTGTCATGTCAGGGTACGTCGACAGCGACTACTGCGCCGTCCCACCAGGCGCCGTCGTCACCACCTCGTATCGTGTCCGCACCCCCTCCCGCTGCCAACCCGCCACCGGACACGGTGCCACAGCCGGCACAAGAAGATGGCGTCAGATTGCGACGAGCACATACTGTCGCTGTACGGGACTATTTGAAGAGGGAAACGCAAACATTCTTTGGAGTTCAGAGAGATAACGAGAGGGAACAAAGAAGACTGTGGTACGAGAGGAGGAGGCGACATGCGGCGAGAGCTCTCGGCGACCTCCGACTCGACCTACCACCGGATTATCACCCTGATGATGATGATATTAGGTCAGTACTATTATGTTAAGCATTATGTTTATTTAAAAAAGAAATCAATATCATTCTGCCCCACGCAAAGTTAAGAATTGGTTACTAAGGTACCCCTTAAGATGTAGACTTAGTATAAGCTACAGCAGTGATAACGGAAAATTATCATAACTTAATAACCTATTTTCCCAAACGGAGGAGATTATCAGTTCGTGTGTATTTTTGATCATTGATTTAGTAATGAAATATCCATATCTGATACTACAATAGTAGAAATATTGATAACCATAGCGAAAATTATCGAAATATATTTCGTTTCGTTTCAAGAACAAGCAATTTAATGTCGCCTTTTCTTAGAATTCCACTAAAACAACTGGAATTCTAAAGTAACGGGTCACTTGGCTGGTAGAAACTGAAGCTGAAAATTTAATTTACTTCCTCCATTCCATTCTTCAGTATCAGACTATCGTGTGCCAATAACATTTCTTATCAAATCAGCCTTTCAATTCCATTTATTTTATTACAGCATCGTGTGTACTTCGAGCTATATTGATACTTAGAACTTTAATCATTGGATTATTGTTTTTAAAGCATTTTCGACAATATTTTAGATGCATTCAAGCAGGAACAAAAATCTCATAGTTATACATTCAAAGAATAGTATGTTAATAATTCTTTATTTACATACATATATATATTCGTCCTCGATCTAGTCTACTATCATAATGACATTTCCTTTTCTTCCTCTTCACTGACATGCGCCGTCGAGGTTTCTGCATGCCAGATGCATCGTCACACATCAAATTACTTTTTACTTAAAGGCCCTATACGTCTTTGTACTTTTAAAAGGAAACGGTTGAAGTTTGTTGCAGGTAAATATTTCAGTTTAAAAGGATAGATACATTAAACGTTAATGCTCATTCCTAAAACATCTAAATCAGGCGCAAACGGCAGCGGAGAACTACGTACGAGCAATATTTATGTGTTGCGCTCGTGTTTAAACAGTACAAACAATGTTTGCGATTCACGATCGTGCAATTATGTTCCTAATGAAAATTCCAAAATTAAATCAGTTGTTGATTTAACGTTTACATTCAATTGTATTGTCCAATTTTAAAGTTAAGTCAAAATCATCTTAAATCTTTATGTAGTATCCTTGTGATATAATTAGTATGGACGAAATTTATTTGACATTAGCTACACAAAATCTACGATGCAACTAAACTTATTGATATCGTAATATCATTGTTAGAGCGTGCACACCTGAAACTAAACTATCGCACCACTGTTTAGTCTCGCTTTGATTCCTTTGAGCTTATATGGAGATGCGCATACTACTCGTTTTTTATGTGCAAATAAACAGTTGAAGTAGCTGCGAAACAATCGACAATCGCGCAACAGTCGTGCGATTTAGTTAAAGTCTAAATTCATGCACTCGATCTTATAATAACTATTTGCATAGACATGCAGTTTCATATTTCTTTTTCACTATAAGAATTCCAATTTAAAATACCACAGTACCATAATTTTGTTATTTAATTACTAACCGACAAATTAATGGTGCATGTTTGACGTCAAACTAATTAATTCGTAAGTAGTAAAGTCTGTATGAAAGAGTGAATACGCGACCCCTGGGGTCCTGTCGCAGGCTGGAGCTTATTAATGTACTTGTTAATTCCTGACTGCTCCGGAAACTTTGCATGCTCCCCGCATCGGAAAGTTTGGGAGCTCCGCGACTAATTCGACGTAGGTGCTTGTTACAGTTAGTGAGATTCTCCGCAAGTTACACTCGCAGTTCCCCTTCTGACTATTATTTGCCTCGTAATTGAGAAACCAAGTTAATTGTTGCTTAATAGATATTAAGTTTCTTTATATTTTCATTGTTTACGAGCTGTCGCCCTCAAACTTCGTTAGCGCAAATTTGGACCACCCGTTATGTAATTTTGACAGCGGGGAATTAAAACATAGTAGCCCATAATATGCATATCCATGTCAACTATCCTCCAGGGATAATCCCGTCAAACATCGGACAGACAGACAGACAGACAAAGACAAAAAAACATTTAATGCGATATTCGTCATTAGCAACGTTCATACATCATCTTCGCAAAATCTAGAATTTTTCTTTTGATATTACAGACACTCCAATCTTATTATATGTGTATAGATAGACTAGCTTTCTAGCGTCTAATTAAAAAACAAAAGAAAGTAGCCTATGTATTCTTCTATACTACGGTTTACATCTGTGTTTAATTTCATCGTGATTCGTTTAGCCGTTTAGGTGGTAAACTTTAACAAACATCCATTCAAACATTCGCATTTCAGGGATAGAATTTTATTTTCTGGCTTATGTACGTTGTATTGATTTTAACGAAGAAGACATCTATCTAGTTTAATCGCTGACACGAAAAAATAAAGTTGCCCTGCGTAGGCCGTCGCCCTAAATATTTTCTCATATTCTTGGGGGCGGGATCTGACAAGCTTAGCTGAAAATATTTATTAGACAGCATCCTAAGTTATGCCTGTCGTGAAGAGTTTCGCGAAACTTGGTAGTTTGTAGCCGTATATCAATGCTGTAGAAATAATTACTTAAATGTACACGATACATAAAAAAATTTCGTTTGCCGACAAAAACTTGCTAAAAAACTTCTTATTAAAAATGTTGCTGTGGATTTTATGTAAAAAGAATTTGGTTGATTAGTGTATTGGAATTATTAATTTATTTGCATGGAATAAACAAATGTAAGTAACCTTTGTGTTCTTCCAGACCATGCACTACATTTATGCCAAATTTTATTGAGATCCGTTCGGCCATTTAGGCAGCAAATTCTAACAAACGTCCGTCCATCTAAACTTTCACATTCATGTGATAAGAAACGATTTTAATAAGGAAGAATTAATTTAACTGTGGTTAATATTCTTATTAGTAATTACGTAAAAATGTTGTTATACGTATTTGTTAAATGAATATTGGGTAACGATATGCGAGCAATATATCCCCAGCTGTTGTATTCTTTAAAAATTGCAGATACAGTACGGTGGATGCAGCAAAATAAAATAATCACAGATACACGCACAACGGTTGCTCAGTTAATGTAAATTTATTTTTTTCGAGCGCTACTTTTTTAAATTTCCTCGCAGTCCGTTCTATATCGTTAGTTTTAAAATGTTGAAATATTTAAATGAAAATATACCGGTTACTGTAACGAAAATTGTATGAAAAGATGTGTTTGTTCATTCAATTTTCACTGCAGCGATTAACAATACTTGATGAGGGCAAAGAAAATTTACTACCAGGTAAAGCGAGCCCTGTAGGAGTAGATAGCAATAGTAAAAATATATTTTAATAATAAACTGAAATAAAGTTCAAAAATTAAGTTAATAAACTTAAGATCTTTTTACTATCTTGGGTATAAAAAAATTTGCATTAATTTTCTACAAAACCGCGTGTGGATACTAAAATTCCATCTTCTTAATACCTTAGGTTTGTCAAATTGTCGCAATATATAATTGTGAATTGTACAATTGAACTACCCGAGAATTGTTTATTGCAATAAAATTACAAGAGAGACAAGTTTAATCGTCAATTCTGCTGCTGTTTACATTAAAATGTATTTAGATGTGTAGGTGTAATTTTAACGTGAGAAACGGAACGCATTGTCTTAAAGGTTCATTGATATGATCCCTCCAACATTTAAAGCGGAGTAATATCGTTTCACAAAGATACTGTAGCCTTCAGCTTTATTAGGCGTGGGTATATACGGTTACGGTAGCCTCAATAATGCTCTTAGATGTCTTGAAGGTATGTTTTCAGTATTAATTAAAAAACGACAGGTAAAAGATTATTTTTTAAATTGTAAACATTTTCTAATATTATAAAAAGGAAAGATTTGTATTTTTGTATGTATTGAAATAACTCAAAATCAATTGGGCGGATTTTAAAAATTGTTGCAATGTTCCAAAGGTAATTTATCTGTAAGTAACATATTTTATAATAATTATTTAATTTCATGCAAATAAAGTCGCGAGTAACAACTAGTATAAATATTTTGACAAAAAATATTGGACGGAAGTCGTGACGGAATTTACGTTTAAATGCTAAGTTAGCGTTTAAATTACTGTATACCGAATTCTTATACTTAATTATTCATTAAAATTAATTGAAGAAAACGAGAAACAGTACTTTTTGGCTACATTTTATAAGATCGAAATGTACCGCGGCTCCCCAGAGTTCTCGAAATTCCGGTTTCGCGAGAGAAAATTCCAAATGCTCTACATTTTCTACGTATTCTGACAGAAATGTTCCGTGATTTTTCTGTTCTAAAGTAAGAAATTTAGATCTTACGGCTTTAGTGTCTAGGGTTATTTATCAGGAAATGTTTTAAAGAATTGTATACCGTCACAAATTTCGCATGTAAATTCGTGACGGTTACGTAACAAAATCTCTTTTTTGAGATCTTCACACCATCCCACGACACGGCATGGCGCCGCCTACGCAGGTCGCATTGGCATCCTTATTGCATTAGAGATACTCAGATATTAAAAAAATAGTGGCGATTTTTCTGGGTGACGAGAGGTCTTACACCATTAACTAAACTGTCGCACAACTGTTGTACAATTGTCGATTGTTTCGAAGCCACTGCAGTATAGTTGCACAACTAAAATTAGCTAGTGATCGCACCTCCATATAAGCTCATCGTAATCAAAGCAAGACTAAACAGTTGTGCGATAGTCAGCCACTCAAACGGTCGTTTATAGTATTTTAATTGAACAATTAATAGGGACTGTCTGTCAAACAAACACAAACACTGAGAGTCTATTAAACTTCTATTGTGTGTATTGCGTTATACAGAAGATTGATTCAGAAAGATTTGTATCAATAAACATATATATACGTAGTAGATGATATGACTAGTTGCATATCGGATAGTCTATTCCCTGTTAATTAATATCGTTGTTTAGTGTTGAGCGGGGGCACAGCTTTGACTAAACAATCGTACAACGGTTGTGCGATTGGCGACTGTTTCGCGGCTAATTCAACTGTTTATTTGTACAATTAAAAGTCGAGTAGTGTGCGCAACTCCTAGTTGTTAAGTTTTATGTGTGCGCACATTCTTACTGTAGGAGCGACATAAAATGTGTGTGTCTACATCTTTTAGATTATAGTATAATGTAAACTTCATTCATATACTATTTCTATTTTTAGAATTGTCAAACGTGTTTCTTTTTGATAACGCCGGATTGATGTTATCCGAGCCGATATTTTCAATCCAAACAGTTGGTCAACGACCA